TATTAATACAATCAAGTCAGTGATGGAGATGTAAAAACATCATTTTTTTTCTTTTTAATTCCTCCTTTGTTCAGAAATATATTTTTATTTACATAGACTATACCTTCCCAGGAATCCACTTCAAACAACATCAGGAAGCCATTCTTTGAGGCCTTGAAACAGGAGGAACTGGGAAGCTATCCAGTTTCTCCATCCTGACCCTTATAATATTTTCTCCCTGTAAATTCTCCATGCTAAGAATAAACATCTCTCTGAAGGATGCAAAGCATCAGGCTACGCAGGAAAAATGAACAAGCATTTGGCTTTCAAAAACCTTCACTGCTGGGATGCAAAATGCATAAAAATGGCAAATAGGAAAGCCCTGATGTTGGTATAGCAGTTATCAAGGGACTTAGGTACAATCTAACTTGAAAGCAAGGTTTACTCCAGTTAAGTGCCAATGAGTCTACCTGGAGGTAAGTGGGGTATACTTACAGTTCATCCAAGAAGACTGCCTTTTATAACTCAAAAGTCTGAATGGAAATTACATAAGGAAGAACAGCAGTTTAAAATGTTGAGTGTTCATATATAACAAGGTAAGTTCGTGGGGAACTTTTCTGTTTTCAATGGCTTTGAATTTGGAATCAATTTTAAAGTTATTTGCTGAATGAATGACTGAATAAACTTCCAAAGAAGATTGTCACAGATGTGCCACATGAGGATAATCTGTCTGCAAAGCATCCAAAGTGGATTACACGCTAATCAACCCCCAGACACTTTAAATCTCAACCCAGAGTGGGCTTGGTTGTACTTAAGTGCATTGTACATTTCTGTCGTTTAACATTATACCTACCAACAAGAAACAGGAAATATTTGGTGTAAAGGATTCAGGTTCTCACACTGATTTTCTATGCCCAAAATCATCTAGGCACTCTCAGCTGGCAACTGTACACAACATATACGTGAAGGTCCTTAGAGATCATCCTCTTTTTCTCACATCATTTACTAAATCACATAAAAACCATTCCAGTCAATCCATCAAAAAATAGTGGTTAAGCTCCTAGTATATGCCATTCTTCATGCAAGGTGCTAAGCATACAAAGATTAAGATTATAGTTCCTCACCTCAGGAAACTTACATTTTATCAAAAGAGAACACACACATGTATATGGATATACCAAACATATAAAACAAATGTAAGGTAATTTCAGGAAGCCATTAGAAGCTAGGAAAACAAAAAGTGGCTCAAAGAGGAGATGGCAAAGAAACTACATTTCCTTATTTGTCTTTTTTGTGTAACACAGGATGTGGAGCTGATTTCTCAAGCCTCTCACAGACGCTGACAAGTTGGATCCCCAGAGGCTGGTACATCTCACCTCAGAGTTCTAAGGGTTTAGAAGGGTCTTTCTAATGCATAGCCAATAAAGTCCCATTGAAGTGCTTCCCCTTATGATTATCAAGTGACATTAATTAGTCAGCTAGACTTAATTAGCTTCTACAAATAAGTATTTAGTAAGGTAGTATAGTTGGTAGAGAGCAGCTAGGTGGTACAGTGGATAAAGCACTGGGCCTGGAGTCAGGAAGATTGCATCTTCATGAGTTCAAATCTGGTCTTAGACAATTACTAGCTATGTGACCTTGGGCAAGTCACTTAACCCTTTATGTCTCATTTTCCTCCTCTGTAAAACAAGCTGGAGAAGGAAATAGCAAACCACTCTAGTAACTTTACCAAAAAAAAACCTCAAATGGGGTCATAAAGAATCAGACACTACTGAAATGACTGCATAACAACAAATAGTTGGTAGAAACCTTTGCCCCTGAAAGTCTGACATACTCTCCCACAAGTACATACAGAGTTCAGGGGAAAATGAACTCAGTCGTATAGAACACATATAGCAAAGAGTAACTCAGCTCCTGGAAGTTCTTTTGCAGCAGTTTTCAAAATGTCCTTCCTAGGGGCAGCATTGTGTTTTTCTCCCTTGAATCCACCTTTCCTCATTACACAAGTTTATCCGAAGATCCTGAAACAGACACTAACACCAACTGCCATTGTCCCTTGGAATATTGCTATCCCACTGATGAAAAAAAATCCAAATCCTCTGGTCCCCCAAAGTACACAAGATCTCCCTCTTGTCAAGGGTGGCAAAGAAGACTGAGAACAAGGCCAAGACTTACCCTTAAGCAATTCCTTCTCAAGCCTTGGGTGGAATGGTTCCCTCCTAGCTCACCACTTGCTTCAATCCGCAATTCCAAAGTAGGTAACTGGTTTTATACAAGGCCCCAAGGGTGTGGATAAGTCCCTAAACTAATAAAGAGACTTCTACCTGTACTTAGTTGAAATGTCCAGTCCTTGTCGATGTCCAGCTCATACCTAATTTACTTATTTCATTGAGAGATATGTTCTCAACTGATAAAGGTAACAGGATCAAAAGGTTATTTAAACTCTCACCCTTACAATTATGGAGTTTCCTGTTACATCTATTATATGTTGAGAATCTAAGAAAATAAACTGTTTGCTTTAAACTGAGTTTTCAAAAATGTCTTGTTCTTTCAAAAAGTCAGTTTTGAAAGGGAAAAGATGCAGTATTTTCTAAGGAATTCATTTATTCAGTAGTTATTTATTAAGATCTTACTATATATGCAATGGAAGAGATGTGAAGATAAAAAGGCATAGTATTTACCCTCAAGAAGCTTATAATCTTGCAGGGGGTGATATGACTTAGCAAACACATAACTGGGATGCAAAACAAGTGCAGGCTTTATAATCAGATGAGAGGGCTCAAAGATGACCCCATGAACAAAGTAGCGTTTGTGTTGGGCCTTGAAGGATGGGTAGAATATCAGCAGGGAGAGATAAAAATAGCTACCATTTATCCAACACTTTAAGATTTCCACAGCGCCTTGCATACCAATGTATTTCAGCTGATCTTCACAATAGTCTTACGGCATAGCTATAGATATCATTATGCACATTTTACATAGGAGAAAACTGGCTCAGAGAGGCTGCCCATGGTTACAAATCTATTAAGTGTCAGAAGCAGGATTCAAACCTCCATATTCCTTTTTTTTTAAACAGTGATAAACAGTCTTTATTCAGGCAATGAAACATGAAAAAATACATTAGTACTTATAATAATTCCATTTGTGTGAGTATAACTCTTACAAATATTTACTTGACATGAGGAGGGAAATTATTATACATATAAAATTTATGTAGATGATCATTACATATACAATGCAATTCTAGTAGGAGTCAAACAGCTTTCACTCCTCCCTATGGAAAAAACCTCCCATTTCTGATGAGCACAGTTACCATAAATCTCTCTATGGATGGAATTAGGCATTCCAAGAACAGGGAGATAAATAAAAGAAGCTCTGAGGAGGGAAAGCTCAGAGAATATTTAGAGAATAGTTCAGGAAAACTAAAACATGAAGTACATGATGATGTATAAGGTAAATTACAGATTGTGGAGGACCTTGAATACCAGGTTAAAGATTTTTATCTTTATTTAGTGTTACACTGGGAGACCACTGAAGCATTTTTTTGAGGAGCAGAGCATGATTATTATATCTGGATATTAGGCACATTAATCTTGCATATATCTGTAGGATAGATTGAAGAAGGAAGAAAATGGAGGGACAGGACTATTAGGAAGTTATTATTTTATCTTTATAAATTTTTTTTAACCTTTACTAGAGGTGGAAGAGAAGTCAAACTGATCTTTCCACAGAGATATCTCATGGATCTGCTAATGTCATTTTTATTAACAGTATTATTTTGACTTTATAGGTCTTGGCTACTCTTAATATGGGACTTGATGAACCAGTTCATTTAAAATGTTCATGGCAAAATGGCTGCCCTGGTTCTATCAATGAGGTCATGAATTGATTGTTATGGGGAGGAAATAAAATATCCTTCCCTATGATTCTCAAAATATATCTTTGATGTAAGATTACCAGGGCGTCGATTTTTCTATGAATTTTAAAATGTATTATCCATATTGGTTAAAAAATGAGCAGATATAAAGTAATGCAAGGATAGCTACACATGTATTTATACAGAGAGAAGATGCTCAGAGATCTACAGCTTGAAGTGAACTCAGTGATCATCTAGATCAACCTCCCCATTTCCTAGATAGCAAAACTGAGGCTCAAGAAGATTAAGTGGTTTGACCAATTTCATACAGGTAGTAATTCCCAGAGGTAGCATTTGCATTCAGGTCCTTGAACTCCAAAGACACTACTTTTTCCACTTTACCATGAGTACTTCAGTTTCTAAAGAATAGGATAGATAATAGCTAGCATTTACTTATGGCTTTGAAGTTTGCAAAGTATATTACAAATATCTCATTTGATCTTCACAATAACCCTATGAGGTAGATGTTATTATTATCACCCTATTTTCCAGATGAGGAAACTGAGGCAGACAGAGGTTAAGAGACTTGCATGTGGTCACAGAACTAATAAGTGTCTGGGTAATGCCAGATGCAGTACTCTAACCATTGTGCCACCCAGCTGCCTCCAAGGGGAGCTTAGAAGGCATCAAGTTCAACTACCTCATTTTACAGATGAGGAAACTGAGGTTCAGAGAGGTTAAGTGATTTCTCAAGGTTATCTCTAGTAAGCATCTGAGACAGAATTTGAAACTAGATCTCGATGACTCCAAATACATTGCCTTATCTAATCCAATACACTTCCTAACACACCTTTCTACTACTATGAAAATCCTCCTCCACCACCAATCCTGAGCAGACTAAATTTTCAACAAAATTAGGACAATGAATGGCATCTCCAAAAAACAGATTTCTAGGGGCAGCTAGATGGCACCTGGATTCAGGAGGACCTGAGTTCAAATCTAGCCTCAGACACATAACACTTACTAGCTGTGTGACCCTGGGCAAGTCATTTAACCCCCATGGCCCAACAAAAAAACAAAAACAAAAAAAACAGATTTATATATATAGAAAATATCCTTTAGATAACAAGTAACACCTAAGTTTAGGCAGCATTTATATACTTACTTTTTCAGTTTCTCTCGAATGTTTGGATCTTTAATTTCATTATGGAGATCCTCAAAGTTCTCAACAGAAGTTAAGTTACAGAAAACCCTGAAGTCAGTATATGGTGGGATTCCATGGTCACGCCCCCTTTGGATGTTGGTGGCAGCTAAATCCAAAGCCACAGAATGTGCCATAGAAAACAGCTTCTCTGTTAGTTCCAGATTGAGAAGCTGAGATGGCACCCGTAATTTTCCAGCAATACCAAAGAGCCCACGGAGGAGTGGATCGATGCCACCCTCCTGAATTATCCTGAAGGGTGAGAAGAAGGCCTTGTGGAGAGGAAGATGGCCTTCAGGGATTTCACCAAAGGTGTCATTCAAGCGATAAAGAATTGGATTGATCAATGTGTGGCCAAATCTGAATGCTGCGGTAGCAAAAGAATTAATAATTCCTGAATTCACATTGGGGTTGTACCCCTTATAGTGACCTAGCATCTTCATACCATGATCCCCAAGAATCTTGGGCAGCCAGTGACTGTATGTGATATGTTGCATCTGTGCACCAACAATTTTCCTGGCTTCATTATAAATTGTATCTCCATCCCAGTGTGGGTTCAGTGTAAACAGTTCTGTGGCTATCCGATTGTGTTCTCGGAACCACAAAGTATGCATGGCTGTCAGAGCAAGCTGTTCGTTGGCTCTGTGGTCCCCAGCAAGAAGCATGGGATCAGACTTTCATTTTCATCCCGTGTACATTCAATTGGTGGGCCTGTGGAAAATGGCAGTAAGTGCTTTTCAGAAGAGGGGATAGGTAGCCCTTTCTTAAGCAGACCTCTCTGACCTGTATGATCCCTAAGCTCTTCTGATTCCCGGTCAGAACTTCCATAAACATTAGAAGCATCAATGTAGGCTGTTAATTGGTTAATTTGTTCTCTTGCATAGACTGAGCTCATCATCAAGGAAGTCATACCACTTCCACAAACAGGGCTGGAACGGACAAAAAACATACATTGTGAATTTGCTACCCGAGCATCATTCTGAGGGACAAGGATCGGGAAACAAGGAGGATCATTAGTACACACAGAGCTACATGACTGACCATCAGAAAAACGAGACATGCTTAAAGCAGGCACCGTTTGGTCCACGTCATGGTCTAAAAATTGGCCCCATTGCATCAACATGTGAGTGTATCGATCATCAGGGGTAATGGTTGCTGTCCCAACCATTTTTGTAGAGACAATCCTGGGTAGTGGTAGTGGATACTTATTGGAAAACGAGTTTGGGCTGATGCCCCGAGGCAAATTGAAGCCATTTTCATATACAGGTTTTAGGATACGTTCAAAAGCAGTCATAGAAGCACCCCACATTGGGTTCTGTAAGTTGTTACATGTGCCATCATGGGTTCTATACTTTTGATGGAAACAAATATCAGAACAATTTGGAGAGCGTCTGTGGGCTGTACATCCAGAGAGGTTGGCAATGAGGCTGAGGTAGTGTGGCGACACCAAGTCATTGTAACGAAATTCTGAAATACAGAACAATGGAAAAATATTAAAGTAGCTCAAAAAAAAACAACCCCAACTTGAAAGATAATTTATGAAATGTTGAAAGCGTATAATAGTGTGGGAATGTTGGGAGTACATAATCCAGTGTGCATTGACTGAGGATTCTACACAGAACCAACCCATGATGGCTGGAGTTATTTTTTTATTCATTCATTCACTCATTCATTCATTCATGTATTTATTTTGCGAGGCAGTCTAGATTAAGTGACTTGCTGAGGGTCACACAGCTAGTAAGTGTCAGATGTCTGAGGCCAGATTTGAACCTAGGCCTCCTGACTCCAGGGCTGGTGCTGTATCCATTACGTCACCTAGCTGCCCCAGCAATTTAAAAATTGCTTCTTTTCAAATGAGTAAAGAAAAAAAAACCCTAAGCAAAGAAGGTGTGTGTGTGTGTGTGTGTGTATGTGTGTGTGTGTGCATGCACGTGTGTGTATGTGTGTGTGTGTGTGTGTACTAAAAGGAACACATTTATCCTCTGTCCCTTAAAAAGAATGCCTTTCATAATGGTCTTGTATTTGCTAACAGAAAGTCTCACTTCCTTACTTCTATGAAAACATTTCAATAAAAGTTCTAAGAGCAAAATCAAAGAGTATTTCAGATTTTCACAAAGGCAATAAAATAATACAAAAGAATATAAACAGCTAAATAATATAGGTTAGAAATTAAAATGAACTGCACTCAAAAATCATAAGTTAATTCATATAGTAAAACAATTTAAAACCCATACATGCAAAAAATATAGGTATAAAAATAGAACTATCAAATAATAAAGTAATAAGAATGTAATTTGTATAGAACACATATACATGGTGCTAAGAGATATATATATATATATATATACACATACATATATAGATATATATGTATAGATGAATAACCCATTTATTAGTGAGTGGATAAGTATAATTCATCATGTTTTCAACATTCAGTTCATAAGCTATTTCTTTTAAGAAGCTTTTCCTAATTACCCCAATTGTTTGAATCTCTCCGAAACAGCTTCATTTATTTTGTACATAGCCTATATTTTCATATCTATGCATCTTCTGCCCTAAAGCTTAAAAGGTTGTCTTCTTTTTTGTTTCTGAATTGTTGGCACCTAGCAGTCCCTGACATTTACTAAGAACTTCAGAAATGCTTGTTGATTTATTTGACTGATTAATTTATTGATATCCATAGAAATGATGAAAATACAATTTGAAAAAAAAAGACATTCATGTTTATGTACATGTATGTATAGCCACACATCATTGTAAGAACTTCAAGGAAACTGGCAAAATAACAAGAAGCTCTAGGGCATAATTCCAAAGAGAAGATCTATTGAATATGACATAAATAAGTAAAAATTAGAAGATAAATATCTGGGGCTAGAGGCAGCTGAGTAGTACAGTGGATAGAGTACCAGGTCTGGAATCATCTTCCTAAATTTAACTCTGGCTTCAAACATTTAGTAGCTGTGTGACCCTGAGCAAGTCATTTACCCCTTTTGCCTCGGTATCCTCATATATAAAATGAGCTAGAGAAGGAAATGGCAACCTACTCATATCTTTGCCCAGAACATCCCAAATGGAGTCATGAAGAGTAAGATGTGACTAAAAAAAAAACAACTGAACAACAATTTGGGGCTATAAAACACCAAGCAAAAACTTAAAGCTAAGGATATGGATAAAATAGAGGATATTCCTTTGAAATAAAAAATCAACTTATTGGCAAACACAAAGTTTGGGTTCAAATTTAATTCAACAAATATTTACTGATCCATACTCTACAAAAGGCTCATAGTTATACATACATATATATACACATTTGCATATATATGTATGTGTATATATATGTGTGTGTGTGTGTGTGTGTATGTATATATATATATATATATATATATATATATATATATATATATATATAAAGATAGAAACAAAATAGATCCTATTTTCACAGAGCTGATGTTCTATCGGCTGCTAAAATGTGTGAACCAAGAAGTAAGGATAAGGTAATTTCAGGAAGGAAGAGCAGGAACAAGTGGGAATGTCAGGAAATGTATATGCTTAAGAGATATTATGTGAGCTGTGCCTTGAAGAAGGCTAAAGTTTCTAACGTACAAAGATGAGAAAGAAATATATTTTGGGTATAATGAGTAACCTATGCAACGGCGCAGAGATGGAAAGTAGGATGCCAATTAGGTCAGTCTGATATAACAGCAGTTGCAGTAAGGATGGCAGGGAACAGTAATATGAAATGTCTTATAAGATTTGTGGGAACCAGGATGTGGAAGACTTTGAATGCCTAGTTGACCGGTTTGCATTTTACCCTAATGCGATGGTTCTCAAACATCTTGGTCTCATGACTCCCTTTACACTCTTAAAATTTATTGAAGACTCCCCAAAGAGCTTTTGTTTCTGAAAATTACATCAATTGATATTTACAATATTATAAATGAAAAGTTCTTAGTATTATTATAAAAATAATTTTGACTTCAAAGACGTGGCCTCTCCCTGCCAACCCCTTTGTCACAGTCTTGTTTCTGGAGCACCCTTTGAAAACTTCTTCGCTAGAGACAATGAGAAGTGGCCAAAGATTTTTGAACATGGAAGGGGCATATTCAGAACTGTCCTTTAGGAATACTGGGGAGGATTGCTAAGAGAAAGGTAAGACCTGAAACAGGGAAACCTAGTAGCAGGCTGTCACAATAGTTCAGGATAGAGAAGATTGAGAGCCAGAGTTATGCCTTTGGGTATGTGAACAGAAAGATTCAACAATGCTGTACAGGGAAAGTTTTTGAGATTTGACAACTGATGGGATATAGGGATGGGGGGAGGGAAAAGGGAAAGATTTAAGGATGACTGTCCATTTGAGCACCTGGAAAACCAGAAAGATAGTAATACACTCCACTGAAATTGGGAATTTTGCAAAATGGGTGGTTTGGGGAAGTCATATGATGAGTTTCAAAAGAAAAGGAACAATTAAATCATTATATTTAGTTAGTCAACATGCATTCAAGGCTATATATGCACCAAGCCCTGGGCTAAGCCTTGGGGAGGTAAAAACAGTTCCTATCCTTAAGGAACATACAGGAACATAGCTGGGGAGACGACATGTTAATAATAACTAAGTACATGCAGAATATAGACAAAGTAGATAGAAGGACCCAGAGGAAAAGGAGCTGGGGTAAATGGGGAAGTGCTGTGGCAGAAGGTGAGATCTGAAGGAAGCTAGAGAAATTAAGAGGTGGGAAAAAACAAAGGAAAACATTCCAGGCATGACAGCCCCACACAAAGACATGCTTTGGTGAAAGCAAAAGCATTCTCTAAAATGTCAGCCAGCCAATAAACATTCATTAAGCACCTATTATGTGCCAGGCTTTATGTTAAGCACCAGAGATACAAAGCAAGGCAAATGACAGCCCCTGCTCTTGAACTCACGTATTAATGAGGGAAACAACATGGCAAACAACTATATACAAAAAAGCTATATACAGGATAAATAGGAAATAATTAACAGAGTGAAGGCACTAAAATGAAGATGGATTGTAAAAGGCTTCCTGTAGGAGGTGAGATTTCTAGCTAGAATCTGAAGGAAACCAGAGAAGCCAAGAGGTAAAAATGAGAAGGAAGGGCACTCCGGGCATGGGGCCAACCCATCAGAAGATGGAATATCTCATCAGAGGAACAGCGAAGAGGCCATGGATTTTGATCTGTTAGAGGAATAGCAAAGAGGCCATAGACATACTCTGTGATCCATGGATCACAGAATTGACGTTCTATTGGCTGTTAAAACATATGAACCAAGAAGTAAGGATAAGTTAATTTCATAAAGGAAGAGCATGTCCCTGGTACAAAGAGGATGGGGTAGAGGAAGGTACAAGGTACAAAAAGACTGAAGTGGTGTGGTGACACTGGGTTATACAGGACTTTGAATGTTAAACAGAGGGTTTTTTATTTGATCCTAGAGGGGATATGGACCAACTGCATTTTGTTGAGTAGGAGGGTGACATGATCCAACCTGTACTTTGAGAAAATCACTTTGGCAGTTGAATGAAGGACTGGGACATATGAGTGGAAGAAGGATTACATTGGAGAAAGACTTGAGGGAGTGCCATGAGCTAGGAAGCTATTTCAATAGGCCAGAGAAGAGGCAAAAGACTCAGTTAGAATGGTGGCTACATGAGTAAAGAGAAGGGAGTATATATCAGAGATGTTATAAAGAAAGAAACAATAGGATTTGGCAATGGATTCGAGATGTGGGTAAGCAAGAGTGAAGAATTAACAATCACGTGGTAGATGCAGATCTGAGGGATGGTCAGGATGGTGGTGCCTTTGACAGTATAATATAGTACAAAAGTTTCCCAAAAGATAGGGAGTGGGGCAGCTAGATGGCGCAGTAGATAAAGCTCCGGCCTTGGAGTTAGGAGGACCTGAGTTCAAATCCAGCCTCAGACACTTGACACTTGCTAGCTGTGTGACCCTGGGCAAGTCACTTAACCCCGATTGCCTCACCAAAAAACACCCCAAAAAAAATTAACCAAAAGATAGGGAGTGGAATCACCATTATTAACAACATTAATATGGTATGGGAAATGGAAATAATATATTCAGATTATATGTTCTTATAGTCTACTGATACAGAATATAACTATTGGTATCTATCTGCTTCTCAAATTCCTTAAAAATAAGCACAAAACACTCCAAAATGTTTTGTTCCTCTCCAAAGAACTTAAGGACCTACCATAGAGACACATGATAATGAATTACACATGCAACAAATAAATCAGAAAAAATTAAATGCTATTTGAGTATTTTACTGTTGCAAGATAATCTAATAAGCTTCATGTGTTACACTGTAATTGATTAATAACCGCATCTTCTCTCATATTGGAGTAAAGAGAGTCTTCATTGTGATTCAGGTTGTTTCTATTACATGATCACTCCTGGAGACTGGAGCTGAAACTATTTTACTTTGTTTCTGAATCAGTGAACATTTGCAAAGATTGAAATATGCACTTTGAATGTAGTACTCCAAAGACAATAAATGCCATATTTGGGGGAGGAATGGAGCGAGTGCTAAAAGTAAACAAGTTGCTTATGGTTAGGATTCAAAACTATAAGGCTTCTCCTTTCTAGAGCTGTTGGGATATCATAATCAGGGAAAGAACAGATAACTGAATAATAAGCAAGCTTAGGAACTACTAGAAATAGGGTTAGCTATTTTTTAAAAAGTAAGAAGCCACTCTCAGTCTTCCTTAATCTTTATGCCTTCCTTTTGAGACTACCTTCAATTTTTACTGTGATATATCTTGTTTTCACAAAGATTAAAGATGGTAACAATAATGATAATAGGCAGCATTTAAATAATGCTTTAAGGTGTGAAAAATGCTATACATTTCCTCATTTTAGCCTTACAACAAACCTTTGAGGTAGATGCCATTATTATCGCCATCTTACAGATGAGGAAACTGAGGCTGAGAAAGGTTATGTGACTTATCCAGTGTCACACAGCTAGTGTCTGAAGTGGAGTTTGAACTCAGAGTCCAAGGCCAGATCTCTTACCGATTGTGCCACCTCCCTGCTGTTTGCACGTTATTAGATTGTGAGCTCCTTGGTAGCAGGAGCTGTGTTGCTGCATTTCTTTGTATCCCTAGTGCTTAGCACAATGCTTGGCATATAACAGTGGCTTAATAAAAGATAGTGATTACTTGATTGGATGAAAATCGGTACAGGTTAAAATAAAGATTTCTGGCAAGATATTCACACAAGTACTACTCTAAAGTATCATCATGATATTGAGATGGCCCTGTTTTTGAAAGACACAGCAAAAGACAGCCTCTGGCAGGTCTCGTCAAGATGGAGAGACTTTGAGTTTCTATAATACTGTAAGACAGTCATCCAAGGGCCACCTTAGCTAAATTCAGAGAAGTTCATCCAATAAGATAGGCCACCAGAGAATAACTATTAATTATTATTGTTGTTATTGTTGTTTGTCACAGCAGCTCAAGAAGGCTATGTACCAAGGTACAGAGTGATTGGAATCTAGGGAGTGCCTATGTGATATCAAGAAATCTGGACAGGACAAGACAGAAAGGTTGATCATGACACCTTTCAGTCTTCAATTTCTCTGGCTCCTTTTATGAAGAGATTGATAATTATCATCAGGACTCAGATACAGACTCAAGATTAAGGATCAACTTAGGAAAACCAAAGACATGTTTGTTCCCACAAGGAGAAAAGGAGTATGAAGACAAGGGATAAGTTGAAACCTCACATAATTATTATGCTTATTAATTATATTCATAAAATATGTCAAAACCCCAATTACTCTGTCCCTTTGTTCATGTGCCCTTCTAAAACTGTCTCAAGGATTTCTATACCCACTGGGATTGACAATTATATAGCACTTGAAGTCAGGGATTTTTATATTTAATTTATTTCAAGCCAGTCATAATGCAGAATTCAATGTTCAAACATTTAAATTACTTTCCATGATGATTGTCTCATATTTTAAAATTATGCCATACCAGGCTTCACATCCATGCATCCATCCCAGACATTCTGGGATACCTTGCCATCCACCCTGATGCCATTATGTACACTCCTCCCCACAGAGCTCCCAAATTGCCACAATCAATTCTATTTCTAAATCACGTGATTCTTATTTTATCTGCAACCAAGCTTCTTCAAGTCTTTAAAAAGTTCACAATTCAATAAAGATGGGTATTCCTTGCATCAATCCATACTAAAATCCCTCCATATTTTGTAGATTGTTTCGTGACTTGCTATATTCATCACTTATTGGCTGACTTTATGGTGAGGAGCTTTGTCAAACTTAGGACAACCTACACAGTATCTATCACCAGGCCTGCTTGTACTTAAAGTTTTTCCAACTGGATGCACTCTGCGGGAATAGCCTTCAAGAATTCAGGGCCATATCCTGATAAGGTCTTAAAGAGGTCTTAAATGGAGAATATCATAACCACCATTCCTTAAAAAAAGGAACTTTAACTTAATAAATTTTAGGGAAATAGCCATTCAAAAACAGAGGAGTCACTTTTACTGCTGGGGAGATGCTGGATTGTTTTGTTTTCTTTTCTTTTGTTTTGGCTTTGGTTTAAGTACCCACACTGGAACACATGAAACAAATGTTGTGGTCTTCCTCTCAGTTTATTTCCCCAAAGGAAGTAACTCAAGGTGGTGGAAAGGGGTCATGGTAGTTACTGTTACAGGAATATCAAAAGCAGTGTGTTATTGACAATACCAAGAGGTTACCTTCACAAACATGTTATTTTCTTTCAAAGAAAAAAGGTAAAATGCCTGACATCTTCACACGGCATTTACTAAGTACACTTCTGATGTTTTATAAAAATAATTGCTGTGAAAAACCATTAAGAAAAGAAACAGGGAATGTACATGTCTTGGTGACAGAGATGCCTGAAGACTCAGTAAGCAATTTGTATTATTACAATAGTGAATGAGGGAAATAACAACTTGAGAATAAAGTACTTCTTATTAGGAAGGTAGCAACCTCTTATAGATGTATATAGCACATGGCCAGGACCTAGCTAATATTAGCAACAGCAAAAACCACCTTCCTTTGATTAAATACGCTATCATTTCATCTCTCTTAACCTCTATAAACACCTGCACTTCAGTGGTTGGTTTAAAAAAAGTTTCTAAAACATGCTGGTGTTTTAAAGTGGCAAAATTCATTGACATTTTAGTTTAGGACAACACCCTGTAACACATTTCAAAGTGAACACTTATCGATCCTAACCTTGGTCCTCTAAATCAACAGTGAGCCCTTGCTTCACATTCTCCTGGATCAGCTGAAGTGTCTGCTCAAAAATCTCCCCTGCTCTTGCAGTCTCAACGGTGAAGGGGTCCCGTGGATAACGGAACTGAGCCAGCAGGTCACTAGGAGTTCGAGGTCTTCTGCAGATGACAAAAGCATTGCTATTTATGAAGTAAATTGCAGAAACACTCTGAATGATGCTTCAGAGATCTAAATAAAAACATATCAATATCCATCAAGCAATGAGTCTACTTAATGAACATGCTTCCTTTTACATTTTAGAGTCAATGCATTGGTTTGAGGAAATATTTATAATGATCTAGTAAATAGTCTCCTAAGAAATCCAATGCATTGTGCAAAATATAAAGTAATGGATATTGTTTCTAATAGAGACAATCCATATTTCTTCCTCTTAGTTAATACTATACGATTAATAAGGGAGCATTGAATGTACCTTCAGAAAGATAATCTTGAAAGACTCATTTAAAATAGTCATTGAATATCTATTGAATACCTGTTATTGTTATTATATATGAATTATCTATTGAATATATACATAAATATCTATTGGAAGTTACTGAAAATGAAAAGTTCTGGAAATTTTCTATTCGGTAAGAAACATTTGTTTTTAGAAAAAATTGAAATCCATTGCAATCATTGAAATCCAATTCAGCTCATTCACCCTTGACTAGGTGGTTTAATGAGTTCATGTAAATAATATATATGTATGTACATGTGTGTCCATATATTTGTATACATATGCATATGCATGTGTACACACAGATAAATGTACATGGAATATATATATATCTATATATATATATATCTCCAAATCACTATCCATATATGGAGTATACTAGAGACCTGTCCTTAGTCCTGTATTATTCAATCAATCAATAAATATTTATTAAGCACTTACTATGTGTCAGCCACTATGTCATGTGCTAGGGATACAAAAAGAAGCAAAAGACAGTTTTTGCTCTCAAGGAACCTACAATCCAATGAGGGAGACAATATGCAAATAAATATATACAAAGTAAACTATATACAAGATAAATAAGAAGTAATTAACACAGGGAAACCACTGGAATTAAGAAATTGGGAAAGGCTTCCTATAGAAGGTGGGACTTTGGTTGAGACTTCAAGGAAGCTAGAAAGTTCAGCCGCTGGAACAGAGAAAAAAGTGTTCCAGGCATGGGGACAATCAGAGAGAATTCCTAAAGCTGAAAGATAGAGTATCTTGTTTGTGGAACAGCCAATAGGTCAGTGTCACTGAGTCAAAGAGTATGTATTAGGGAGTAACATGTAAAAAGACTGGAAAAGTAAGTGGGGGCTTTTGATATCCTAGATAAAGGAATATGTGGCATTCTCATGAAATATTTTGTCATGAAGATGACACATGGATAGGATAAAGATTCTGATGAAAAGAACTGGGATCCAAACAAATCTTGACAGTCCAGAATAATGGATCAAATGATATTGACAAACTAGAGCCCATTTCAAGGAGTACTATGGAGATATATGTCTATGTATACAAGCATAAATGCATATATCTCATTAAAACACTTAGGCAAGTAAATGCAATTATGCTGAATTAATAGAAGGAAAGGTATAATGAAGGACTGGACCTGTGATTTAATTAGAATAGAGAACTCCAAGATGAGGAAAGTTAGATCTAGAGGGTAGAGGTAGGAGTCATAGGAAGGAAGTTTCAGAAGGGTGTATTTCAGCTTGATGTAAGGTAAAACTTTTCTGCACTTATATCTGTTTATAGAGCAAAGAGAACATGTTCAGAAGGCAATGCGTTCGTCAACAAAACACTGGAGTCTTGGAATTGGAATAGCCGTGGAGATGATCCTAATCAATGCTCTCTACAATGTCCTCACTATGTTATCATCCAGTCCTTACTAAACAATTCTAGGAAGATAGGACTAGGTAACATTTCCAAGCCTGACCATCCCAGTTTGGGATAACTTTAGCTGTTATTGAGTTTTCCCTTACACCTGTCCTAAAACTACTTGCAATTTTCAACCAAAGCCCCTGATTCTTTCATCTAAGAGCAAATAGAACAAATGTGATCATGTTTCTACATGATGCCCCTTCAAATATTGGTGAATAATTATTTTGGCTCATTCTCCCTAAGACTTTTTTCCTCTACATTCAATATTTCCAGCTCCTTTAAATGGTTCTCATGTAGTATGATTCTGAGGCCCCTCACCATCTTGTTTGTACTCCTTCCAATGCTCTCCACCTTATTAACATCCTTCCACTTGATCCACCATTCTGGCCTATCAAGATTCATTTAGATCCTGATTCTTTTAATTGGTATATTTATCTCATCCAACTTTATTTCATCTTCACATTTCAGAAGCATGTTATATATTATTCTATATAAATTATCAGTAAAAATGCTGACTAGTACAGGATCAAAGACAGAACCCTAGCAAACTCGATTTGATAATTTCCTCAAAAATCCATTAATTAAAACTTAACTTGAAGTTTTCTCACAGTTATCTGAATGAAGAAGTTTCATTGCTACTTTAGATATACTCTCAGGGCAGCTAGGTGGCATAGCGAATACAGTGTGAGACCTGGAGTCAGGAAGATCATCTTCATGAGTTCAAATCTAGCCTTAAGACACTTAGTAGCTATATGACCTGGGGCAAGTCACTTAACCCTGTTTGCTTCAGTTTTCCCATCTGTAAAATGAGCTGGAGAAGAAATGGCAAGCCACTCCAGTATCTCTGCCAAGAAAACCCCAAACGTGGTCACAAAAGATTCAGACACAATTGAAACTATTAAGCAATAACAAAGATTTATTCTTTATGAAACATGGATTGGTTTAGGTCACCTCTGAGGAGCCTTCCAACTTTGAAACTTTGTGATTTTCTTTTGTTCAAAGCATTGTGCAAAATGGTAAGGACATACCTTCAAGGAGCCCATAATATAACTGTGGAGATAAGGTGCAAAGGCACACGCACACGCATGTGCACGTGTGCGCACACACACACACGCACACACACACACACACACATTATAAGACAGTGACACAAAACTGAATGAGATAAGTATAGGAAAAGTCACCAAAAAAAATGCTAAGTTCCATGGAGGGTGACATTTAAAGCTTAGGTGATCAGAGGACACTTGATCTATTTCAAAAGAAAGTGGATTTGGAAATTAACACAAGACACAAAATTTTGACATTTCCAAATAGAAATGTTGAAGCTGATTTCAAACAAAACATACATTCTTTTTTTGAGGCCAGATGTCATCACTAAATTCACCATAGAGACTGAGAGCAGCTACTTTCTTTTTCTTCACTCTGTTTTTTTATGCAAAAAATACTCTGTACCTTATAGGTTATATTAAAAAAGGATATGTAGATCCTTGTTAGAAAGTGACCATTAGTCAAAGCATGTGAACAGGCAGTTCTCAGATGAAGAAATTAAAGCCATCTATAGTCATATGAAAAAATGCTTTAAATCACCATTGATTAGAGATATGCAAATCAAAACAACTCTGAGGTACCACATCACACCTGTCAGATTGGCTTCCATGACAAAACAGGAAAATGATGCATGTTGGAGAAGATATGGGAAAATTGGAACACTAATGCATTGTTGGTAGAGTTGTAAAATGATCCAACCATTTTGGAGAGCAATTTGGAACTATGCCCAAAGGGCTATAAAAATGCGCATACCCTTTGACCCAGCAATAGCACTTCTAGGGCTGTATGTTTTGTGGTGGCAAAGAACTGGAAATTGAAAGGATGCCCATCAACTGGGGAATGGCTGAACAAGTTGTGGTATATGAATGTAATGGAATACTATTGTGCTATAAGAAACAATGAGCAGGCAGACTTCAGAAAAACCTGACAAGACTTGTATGGACTGATGCTGAATGAAGTAAGCAGAACCAGGAGAACGTGGTACACAGTTACAGCCACATTGTGTGATGACTAATATTGATAGTCCTTCTCAAGGATCTAAGATGTTCAATATTTTGAGCTCATGCCATTCCTGACTCTAGGCCTGACACTCCATTTACTATGCCACTTAGGCTGTAAGATCTAAGCAAGGATCTATGACATCTCCAAAGGGCTCATGATGGAAAATGTTATCCACAAACAAAGAAAAAACTATGGAGTTTGAATGTAGATCGAAGCATACTATTTGCTATTTTTTTCTTCCATTGTGTTTTGTTCCTTCTTTCTGGTGGTTCCTCCTATTGGTTCTAATTCTTACTTACAACATCGCTAATGTGAAAATATGTTTAATAGGAATATATATGTATAACCTATATCAGACTGCATGCCGTCTTGAGAGAGAGGCGGGGAGGGAGGGGGAGAAAAATTTAAAACTCAAAAGCTTATGAAAGTGATTGTTGATAAATCAAAATAAATTAATTAAAAAAGAAAGTGACCATTAAATCAGCATTATTGGCTCAAACTGAAATATGTAACTATTCTTATGAATTTATTATCGTTATCCTGTTTCATAATAAAAAATATACATATATTTTTGCTCTTTGGTGAGGCAATCAGGATTAAGTGACTTGCCCAGAGTCACACTGCTAGCAAGTATCATGTTTCTGAGACCCAATTCGAACTCAGGTTCTCCTGACTCCAAGGCTGGAGCTCTATCTACTGCACCACCTACCTGCTCCCCATAATCAAAAATTTTTAAATAAAATGTTTGGTTGGCAAAGAATATAGCTTTGAGACAAAGCAGTCAGAATCTATTCTATAATACTAATCATCTTGATCCAGAATTATTTTTGTTAGGGTTTTTTCCCCTTTATTCACAAAAGATGACCGTAAAATGCCCTTATTTATTCGAAAATAGTACAATGGGCATGGGAAGGAGAAAAGTAATATCTTAAGGAGATAATCCTTTATTCTTCAGTATTATCAGTTTAACAGTGCTGTTAGGTTCTGTGCATACTAACCCCTAAAATAACTGATAATAGAGAAATGGCTGCAAACATTAAAAAGCCTATTGCATAAGTATCTACATTCTTCCTACCTCTACAGAAGGGGTTCTGATTCATAGAAAGTTCTTTGGGAATGAGCACTGGCCAGTAATGCAGGGAGCAATTTAACTTTTCTTTCACTACCTGAACTGACAATGACTGCTTTTCCCAGACGATGGCCTAGCTTGCCAAGCTTAAAGAAAACATATTTTGATAATCTCATAAGAGTATCCCTGGTTGTGATTTATGAAGCTTGCAATAGCTAAACAGAACTAAAATGAAAACAATTTTCATAAGCAAAATAAAATAAATCCTTACTGTGAAAATAGATTTCTTCTTGTGGAGTTAATTGCACTGTCAACCCTCTGGATGGCATCAAGAATAGATGATTCAACAAAGTTATCACCAGCTTGTCTACCCTGTATTGCTGTAACAACAATCCCATGATTTAAAAAAAAATAAAGTTAGGAATTACATGATATAAGTGGCACTTAACATCTTTTATATTTTAGAAGGGACAACTTCTAACAAAATGAAAATACTATAAAACCTCCAGTTTATATTTTCTATTATACAGAAAGAGCAAAATTCCCCAACAAAGCTCCCAATGGAAACTATCAGTTTAATTCAGAGAATTAAAGTACTCCAAAAACTGGTAAAGGCATATGTACTATTTCATTTTATAATAATGGTTCAGAGAACCCAAATGTGTAAGGATGTGGAATTGCTGTGCTATTAGGGTCTGGTTCATGTAAAGTACACTTGAGATGATGCTTATCCACATGGAGAGGTGAAGGAGCTTGCTTCTGGGAGAATAGTGTTGATATGTAAAGGAAGTGACTTTGGGACATGGTAGAGCAAATGTAGATGTAGGTTCCGAATGGCTAACCCTGAGGTTAGGAGGAATCTTTTCTGATCGGCTATGTAACTAGAACCATCAATATTCAATAAGGCTTTCAGCATGAGTGACCTCCTCTTCAAGTTAAGGGGAAAGGCCTTTTGGCCTTTTGTCCTCAGAGACTCTATGGATCCCAAGAGAAAGGCTTTAATCCTTAACCTTCCCCTCTCCCCCAATTCTAGATAAAGGAAGTAGAGTCTCTGACCTTGGAAATTTTGAATGGTCTGAAGAATGAGTAATAGAAATCTGAAAGCCAGAAACTAGACTGGGTCTTTGTAGCCAGTAAAAACCGATGCCCTAAGGAGCAAGGAGTGACCTTTGGGAGAAACCTTTGGGACTCTAGCCTAGACAATAACTCAAAAACAGATATTTCAAGGGAAGAAGATTCTACATACTGTATCCCAACAGGAATTTCCAAAAATAGAGGAGGACTGTGCCATTCATTCCTGGCACAACTGTAGAGACACCTAGACTACAGACACAACCCTCAGAATATAGTATTAGCGCCTAGGCCATCCACCAGTTTAGGGTTAGGGAGGAAAGTTTATAGTTCTGAAGACCATGATCAAAACATCCCATGTAGTAGTGCAAGTTTAAGGGAGGACCTGGAATACATTGAGAATATTGGGAATACATTAAGAATACATTGGGAAAACAATCAATGAACTTGTAGATAGAACACTGGATCTAAAATCTGAGGGACGTTAGAAATGGCTTCCTCTGCCCAGATGCCTTGAAACTGCTGAGGAAGATTTTTAGCCCACTTCCTCATTAAATGTCCACCAATCAGGGCTGATTTTCACTTCTCAGGGAAGTTCTCTTTCCAAAGGGATTTAAGGAATTTCAGGGTCTTTCTTGGGGTCTTTGGTTACCAAGAAAAGTTACTAACCATCGATGTATTGATTACAGGCTAGCCCAATTAATAAATTGATTATTTATTACCCAGAAATAAAATAAAATAAAATCTGAGGGCCTGGATTCAAATTTTGGCCTTGTTACATATTGCCTTTATGATCTTAGGCAAACAACTTTAATCTCTCCAGGCCTCAGTTTCCCCATCTGGGAAATAAAGGATTTGGACTAGATCAGGAATAAGCAAACAATGAGGTAAGAATGTTTTTTACATTTTTATATAAAATAAAATTTTATTTTAAAATGTTTAAGAAATATACAATAAAACTTCATTTTAAAATGCAAAAAAAATATTCTTAGCTCCAGGGTATGGGGATTTGGTGCTTGGGCCATAGTGTGTTGATTCTTGGAGTAGATGACCTCTAAGCTCTCTAACAACTCTAAATCTCTCATCCAATGATGGGCCCAAGAACACTGTATCATGCTATACACTGTCAGTTCCTTGAAGCCAGGGACTCCTTCTTTTATTTGTACTTGTGCAGCCAGCTCTTAGCACAGTGCCTAGTACCCAGCAAGTACTTAATAAATGCTTCTTGACTGCCAGCTACCAAAGATGACCTACAAGTAAGAGATAGAAAAAAGAATCTAATCAAGGATGAAACTTGAAAATAAGGACAAAGGAAAAGCACGTGAGTTAGCAGTGTACTGAGAGTGAGACATCTGATAGTAAGAAAGATTTATTACTTCCAAGAGGCAGTTTTCTAGCACCTTAAGCAGAGCATCTATGGAGGATCTATGTGAAAACATGGATAAGAATTATTCAAGGGATAAAGTGCAGAGGGATGGTGGTTCATATCACTGAAGGGTGCAGTTATATGGTGAAATCTATATATCCATTCATATATCCATCAGTGTATCAAAGAGTCAGAAACATCAAATTCTTTTCTCTTATGTCATCATTTACATATGGTATCAGGAAAGTTGTTAAAGATTATAGTGAAATAAAGACTAATTTCTACAGAAATTTATTGATGTGACAAAATGTATTGTTGCAACACAGATTTATTGAGGACTTGAGCCCTCAAATCAGATTTTGGTTTTAAAACAAAACCTCATTTTTTTTTTTCTATTTACATTGGTTTTCAAAAAGAATGAGGTAGTGAGGGGGCAGCTAGGTGGCGCAGTGGATAGAGCACTGGCCCTGAAGTCAGGAGGACCTGAGTTCAAATCGGGCCTCAGACCAAACACTTGATTCGTACTAGTTGTGTGACCTTGGGCTAGTCACTTAACCCCAATTGACACTTACTAGCTGTGTGACCCTGGGCAAGTCACTTAACCCCAATTGCCTTAAAAAAAAAAGAAAAAAAAAGAATGAGGTAGTCAGAAACTGACAAGATATTTGAGTGCAGGCACCATGTCTTTTCTATATTTGACATCTCCCATAAGGTCAAGCATAGTACCCTGCAAAGTATATGTACTTCATTTCTGTGTTGATTAATTGAGTGTCAATTATAAATTGAAAGCCTCCTCAGTACTTCCTTCCCCTAGGGCCCCACCGCCCTCTGTTTGGAGAAAGTGGAGGGTATACAGCCACCTCTTCATCCCTCATCCTGCACTCCTGTGAATTTCATCATGCCCTGACTCCACATTACCTCTCCACCTTTTCAGTTTTGTTTTTGACAGGTTGTCTTACCCCACTAGATTGCGAGCTCCTTGAGAACAGGGGTTGTCTTTTAACTATCTTTTTATACCCCATATTCACCTCAGTGCCTGGCACATACTAAGACACTTAATAAATGTTTATTGACAGACTGGCTATTTAGGCAAAAAATAAATCTACAATTCCAGTTCAGTTCTCTGGAGACTCTTCAGTGGATCTATGACCTCATCAATATAGGTACTCTTTCTACCAGTGAAGAGTGAAACTTATCCATCCTCTGAAGATGAAGGTTATGGGGAAAAAATCTAACCACAATGACCATGTAAAGTAACAGAAGGAAAAGGGGATAAAAAAGATTATTTCCAAACAATGAAGTCAGCTGCAACAACCATGATTTACTTTTGTATAGCTTTTACAGTTTTGACAATCTATATTCTCTCTCTCTCTGGTTTTATTCTCACAACACCTCAGAGAGTAGAATCCTTCATATCTCCATTATACAGATGAAGAAATTGAGGCTCAAAGTGACAAACTAACTTCAACATGCTCACCCAGTTACTAAGTAAGAGAACCCAAAAATGTGAGACCCCTGGATGAAACACATATATTTTAATCTATATGTTTATATGTTCAAATTTATATATTTAAACTTAATTACTTTATCTTATAAAAAGAGCAATTAAAATAGAATAAGGAAGGGGCAGCTAGGTGGCGCAGTGGATAGAGCACTGTCCCTGCATTCAGGAACAGCTGAGTTCAAATCTGGTCTCAGACACTTGACACCTACTAGCTGTGTGACCCTGCGCAAGTCACTTCACCCCACTGTCTCACACACACAAAAAAAAATCAGGAAAAAATATAAGGTGGCTCGTAAAGAACAATGTCTAGGAGTTTTGTAGAGAAATAAGATGAAAATCTGTGGCTGGTTTGACTTTGTCAACTGGATACTTGGTAAGTTTTTTCTCCTCCCTGAGGCAATCAAGATTAAGTGACTTGCCCAGGATCACACAGCTAGTAAGTGTCAAGGTTGAGGCCAAATTTGAACTCTTGTCCTCCAGACCAGGGCTCCAAGGCTGGTGCTCTTTCCACTGCGTCACCTAGCTGTGTTGATACTGGGGTGAGCTGATCACAATTTCTAGGACTGATATATTCTAAGTTCTGATTGACCTTCAAAATGATTAAAATAATGAAATCCCATACATCTAATTGAATTGGATGGTTCAGTTGGAAAGACCAAAAGGTAGTGAAATCATACTTTGTACAACTCAAGTTACTTGGCTGGGATAGATAACTTCACCTAAATTTTTGCCTTTGTTGCTAAGTATTACTAACAATAACTGGGAATTGTTCTTTTTTTCCTGTTATTTTAAAATTTTTTATTAATTTATTTATTTTAAGTTTTCAACATTCACTTCCACAAGATTTTGAGTTCCAAATTTTCTCCACATCTCGTCCCTCCCCGGACCCCAAGACAGTGTGTATTCTGAATACCCCTTCCCTTAATCTGTCCTCCCTTCTATCTCCCCCCCTTCTCTTATCCCTTTCCCCTTCTAATTTCCTATAGGGCAGGATAGATTTCTATACCCCATTGCCTGTATATAGTATTCCCCAGTTGCATATGAAAACAATTTTTAACATTTGTTTTTAAAACATTGGGTTCCAATTTTTCTCTCTTCCTACTCCCCACCCACCCTCATTGAAAAGGCAAGCAACTCAATACAGGTTAAACGTGTAGTTATGCAAAACACATCCATAGTAGCCATGCTGTGAAAAATTAATTATATTTCCCTTCATCCTATCCTGCCCCCTGTTTATTCTATTCTCTCTTTTGACCCTGTCCCTCCTCAGAAGTGTTTACTTCTGATTACCCCCTCCTCCAATCTGCCGTCCCCTTTATCATCTCCCGCTCTCCTATCCCTTTCCCCCTATTTTCCTATAGGGTAAGATAGATTTCCATACCCAATTGAATGTGTATGTTATTCCCTCCATAAGCCAAAACCAATGAGAATGGTATTCA